ACTAGCTTTCTACAAAATTTACCTCAAATGGTTCTAGGGGTTCGCAGTGGGAGAGAGATAGGCCTTGCTCGGTCAGATGCTGTGTAAGCCTCCCCTTTTTTCTGTTTTTTGCTCTGACTTCCCTCTAGTGTGTGTAGCTGTGTTTGCCAGACACTGCTGGCTTAGATAACAGTGACTTACCTTCTCCTTGGAACCAGTGGTTCTGCCAGGCCCTGTTGTACATGTGGCTAGCTATTGCTATGACTCTGGTTATCTGCAGCTTGTCAGTCTTTGCCCTCTCATTTATAGTGTGACCTGGGGGCCAGCCCGGTGGCGCACTGCTACAGTGCGCCGCTTGAGAGCACGGCTGCGCTCCCACCGAGGGTTCGGATCCCACATACAGACCGGCCGCTCACTGGCTGAGCGAGGTGCGGGAGCAACACCGAGGGTTGCGATCCCGTTGCCGGTCAGTAAAAAAGACAAAAAGGAAAAAAAAAATACTATAGTGTGACCTGGGAACTAGCATTAGTCATTTTTAAATACACAATGTTTTCTTGTGAGATGGGAGATATGAAATGTTTGCATTTTTAACAGTACTGCTAAAAAATTAATACTAATTCTATAAGCAATTCTATGAATTTAGCTGAATATACCCTAACTCACTTATGAATATTATTAGCTCTAGCATGACTCTGTGAACTTTAAAAAGCTTTGCTGTAACTGCAGATATGAGATGGAAGGGAACACGTATTTTATCCAACTATAGGCAGTATAATTTCCTTTGGAGTTTACCCTTAATCCTAGTCACTGACTTAATCTTTAATCATGTGCATATATGTACTGGGAGTGGAGATGGAGAAAAGCTGATCTGACATTCAAAAAACTTAAGAGGTAGCATTCACAGAGTTATAAGCAAATCATTATAAAACAAATTAGCTATGCAAACACCAGCCAAGTAAAACAGCCTGCTTTGTTTGACCCTTTTGAACTTTCCTGCATGACATGCAATTTTTTTATTTATTTATTTTACTGTACATATGCGTTTCATTTACATAGTTACCACCATTTACTCAGTCATGTGAACATTTTCTGTCTAGAACAGAGTAAAGGACATAAGGTTAATGATAGTTGTTGTTTCAAGCTATTAAACACAGAATAGGTTTTTTAAATGCCTCTCTATCCTACTTCCACACATATTCAAATGAATATTAAAAAAAACAACAACGATATTCTAGAACAGTTAACAGGCTCGGTAACAGGTTTGGGTGCAATAATGACACATGATCCAAATAAATAGTATTCTCAAATAGGAATTTAACCTTTGCCTGACTTTCCTTGGTAGAATGTCAGTGTTACTTGGGCTATAACTTCTTTATTGGTTTATCCATGAATAGAATTATTCTGTTCAAACAATACATTTCAAATGCAGGGCATAGTTTAATGTGATTATAGACTTATAATGGATATAGCTTTATAGTAGATATAAGTTATAGATTCTCTTCATATTGGTTAATGCATAGAGCTTAATACTGCTTTCATATTTAGATCGGGATTCATAGGTAGTCATGTAAATTTCGTTTATCACGAATGAGAACTTTTTAGGGATCTGTGATATCAAAACTATACTTTATAGTAATACTGAGAGCTTATTTGCCTTTTTAAATGTGTTGACATTTGTACTGATGGTGCAAAAGCAATGGTGGTTAAAACTGCTAGTGTCTTAGAATGAATCAAGGCAGTGGTACCAAACTCTACTAGTAGTTCCTGTATTTTTAACAATCATACACTTGCAGGGGGCAAAAAAGCCCCTCTCGCTTAAGAATATCTTTGATGAAGCAGTAAAAAAAATAAGTTTATTACTCTTTGTGAAATATAGGTCTTTTTAATGCTATGTATAGAGAAATGGGAAGTAGACATAAAGCACTTTTTCTCCATATAATGATTGTGTTTAGAAAAAAGCACTTGTACAATTATTGGAGTTGTGAGCTCGACTAAATGGCTTGTTTCCCCCCATGGAATACCATTTTTACTTAAAGGAATAACTGATAAACTGTGGTTATGGGACTTGGGTATTTGGCAGGCATTTTCTTTAAAATTAAGTAAATCTGTCATTTCAAAGAAAACAACTGACAATAGTTACTGCCAAAGATAAAATCCAAGTGAAGATAAATTACAAATAAAAAGTAAAATTAGAATCTTGGAAAACTGTATTCACCACCTTGGGCTTAACAGCTTCCCAATACATAAAGACTATTCTGATGAAATTGGTGGTGATATTAACAAATGTGATTTTTTTTGATGTACTGTAACGAAATTGAGTCACCATTTGGAAGATCTGCATAACTCAACATACCAGTATTTTCCAAATCATCAATATGTGATGTTACAAATCACGCATGGGGCTGGCCCGGTGGCGCACTGCTACAGTGCGCCGTTTGGGAGCGCGGCGGTGCTCCCGCTGAGGGTTCGGATCCCACATACAGACCGGTTCCCGCTCACTGGCTGAGCGAGGTGCGGGTGCAGCGCTGAGGGTTGCGATCCCGTTGCCGGACATGAAAAAAGACAAAAAAAAAAACAAATCACACATGGGCCACAGATTCATTCAACGTATAAGATTTTAATCTTGTAAGACCAGTGGATTTTAATGTTAACGAGATTTTTTTTTCCCGCTCACTGGCTGAGCGAGGTGCGGGTGCAGCGCTGAGGGTTGCGATCCTGTTGCCGGACATGAAAAAAGACAAAAAAAAAAAAAAATCACACATGGGCCACAGATTCATTCAACGTATAAGATTTTAATCTTGTAAGACCAGTGGATTTTAATGTTAACGAGATTTTTTAAAAAAGTTTATTGATAGGGGTTTTAAATTATACATTGCAATTAACTTTTAAGAAACCAGCACTTGTCAAGTAAAGAAGAATATGCACAATTATTTCTAAAGGCCATGAGAATACTCCCCCATTTTCCAGCTAAATATACTTCAACCAAAACAACATATTGCAACAGATTGGAAGCTGAAGCAGATGTGAGAATCCAACTGTCTTCTGTTAAATCTGACATTGAAGAGATTCTTTAAAATGTATTCTTCTCACTAATTTTTTAAAATAAAAGTCATTTTTTTCTCATAGAAAAATGTCATTTATATTAACATACAAGGGATTTTTGTTAAATTAATAAATAGTTTTAAATTTTGTTTTAATTTATAATATAATAAATATTGATAGATATGATTTATATAAATAAAAGTTCTTCAGAGTCTTTAAAAGTTTCTAAGGGCCAAAGAGACTATGTGACCCATAAAATCCAAACCTAGGTATGAGTCCTTCTGTTATGGCTTCTGCCACCTCTCCTACTCTCTCACCTGTCTCATTTCCCTTCCACCCTGTTATTCAGTAAGGTGAAAATACTTTTATTTCAAAAGAACCATGCTATTTTACATCTGTTTTCCTTTGCTCAGTAATCTTTTGCCATGAATTTTCATTCTCCTCCAGTTCTCTGTATAAAGTACTGTCTCCCAGTGCCTTTTGGGACCTTTATCTCTGGAAATACTCTTTTGTTATAAATTCTACTTTATCTGAAATTGATATAACCACTCCCACTTTCTTATACTTAGTGCTTACTTACTATACCTTTTTTCATCCATTTACTCTGTCTTTATATTTAAAGTTAGTTTCTTGTAGACAGCATATAATTGGATCTTATTTTATCCATTTGAAATCTCTACCTTTCAAAGGGAATTTTTAGTCCACTAACATTTAATGTCGTTATTAATATGATTGGTTTTAGGTCTGCTGTTTTACTGTTTTTTTTTTACTATTTGTTTTCTATCCTCTTCACCCTCCCTTTTTTGATCTTTATCCTTTCCTCCTGGTATAGTTCAGATATGTTTGTCCCCCCAAAGCTCATGTTGAAATCTGATCCCCAATGTGGCAGTGTTGGGAGGTGTTTGGGTCACGGGGACGGACACCTCATGAATAGTTAGCCCACCACTTTTTTTGTATTCAAACTTCTGAGAAACCTTTGTTTCTACAGCATACTATGATATTATTTGGCTTTCATTTGGTACAAATGTATCACTCAAGAAATAAATCCACCTCTGTCTTCTCATCCCTCAGCCTGCTACCATTAAAATAGCACTACTTGACTACAGTAATATAGTAAATAAAAACTCACATTCAGGCTCTAATACTATTTGCTGATTTGAGATTACTAGGTGAGCATCCAGACGATCCAGAATATGGTGTGTGCACATGTATGTGTGTTTGTAAGAGACAGAGAAAGGGAAGGAAAGAGAATTTTCATTGACTTGGGGAAGAAAACTTAAGAAGTTTTTTTATAAAAAAACAAATGAAATTTCAAAATCAGTTTTGCACCCCCAGAGTCTACAGACCCCATTATAAAAAATCACTCATCAGGGGGATAAAGACCAAATTCCTTATGTTGACATCTGAGGCCTCTGTCGATTTGGATTAAGCATCTTTTCCTTTTCAGTTTTTTTTTTTTTTCTGTCTCCTTTCTGTCATGTGAATATGCTCACATTTTCTCAGATGTGTGCCTTCTTTCCTGTTTCTATATAAGTCCATCTGTCTATAGATCTTCCATGCTTTCATTTCCCCTTGAAGCTTCTGCCCACCTCTTTGGTTATAATTTGATTTTTCTTCTTCTTTCAGCTCCTCTTTGAATTACTTCTCTGTCTAGAACTTTGGCATTTTGTTTTTTTGTGATGTTATTTTTAAATTGTTTGATTTTCATGTTCACTACATCACTAGACTTCAGGGGCCTGAAAGGCAAAATAGTACCTTAAAAGTTTTTTGTATATCCTCTGGACCATTGTAAATATTTTTGAAGCACTTGCTAAGAGAATTAAATAATTAAATGTAATGGTCAATATTAGGGATTCACTTTCTCTTGCAAAAATGTTTTTTCTTCATACAGAGTATAAGCAAAGTACTCTGATGTAGAAAATTTGTATTTTTAAGAAACTAAAATGCCTTAAAAATTTTGTATTTATGCACCTGTTTCTTCTTCATTTCAGGACTATTGGGAAAGATACTGATGGCTATCCGAGACGCAGGGTTTGAAATCTCAGCTATGCAGATGGTAGGTGCTTGCAATGAGCCATAAAGTATCGAGGTATTTTTTAAAAAAATAATCTATAAATTTTTTTACATTGATTGTTCTCTGTGTATTTGTGAACCCAACACATTAAAAATAAAAGACCTATTTACTGAACTCAATAATCTTGTAATCAAAAAATCTTTTTGAAATGATTTTACCTATGTAATTTTTTATTGAGAGAACAAATATTCAAATGATATGCTTAATTTAGGCTTATAAGTTTATATAATTCTTGGAACTTTAATTGCAAAATGAATAAGGACTCAAAAATGTATTCAGTTCTTACAAACAAGAACTAGAATCAAAGTAAGCAGTTATAATGACTTTTCTGTCTTCTGGATTCCTAAATGAAGGAAGACAATCAGCTGGGGTTTTTTCCTTGAACTTTTGCTGGTTTCTGGACTTTCTCTCAGGACCTCCTTTAGAGTTAGTGTATTTCAGCCACTCTGTTGGCACTTACACTGCTGGACCTCTGGAGCATACACTTGTTCATAATTACCCTGGTCACACATTCCTAGGAAACCCTTTGTTGAAGAAACTTCACCCACTTTAGTAGAAGTCATACCTTTGTGCTGTACTCACTGGTGCATTTGGCAAGAAATTAGGTACCAAATTATCATAGGAAGCAGGTGTAAACCATTTGGTTTTTACTGTGTTTGAAGCTCAGCAAGTTTAAGCCTTTTTGATGGTAAAATATTGAAATACCCATTTTGGAGCTGAGAATTTCTTACCAATATTATTTATATCATCTTTTTCTGAAAAGAAACTGCTTTTAACTTCTATGAAGTCTTAGGATCACCAAAATCAGGGGTCAGGGCACAAATTTGGGTTCTGCCTATTTTGTACCCATAAGCCAAAAAAAAAAAAAAAAGGTCAGAAATATCATCTAGTTTGTGAAGTCATCAAGCAAAACTTGGAAACTGATGAGAAAATTGATATTTGAAGAATCTTACCTAGGATTATGAAGAAATTGTTAGTCAAAACATTCTAAAAGTGTTAGTCAAAACATTCTCATTTGCTTGGTGGTGTACTAATAGCATTGTAGGACCTAAGTCTACTTAAAAAAATAATAATTATAAAAATTTTAGCTTTAAACATTAATCTAACCCAAAGCCTACTACCTAGCACAGTGATTGGCCACAGGAGATACACAATGAAAAAAATAATACTGTAACAATAAAATGATCCATGAACCTATGGGGAGGCATGGTAGTGTAGAAACAAGTACAGTCACTGATTTTTGGAGTCAAATATCTGATTCTGTATCCAGGTCAGCTGCTTTCTAGGCATGTGACCTTGGCCAAAAGTCAAGCATTCTTATTCTCAGTTTTCTTATCTAGGCAATGAAAACATTATGATTTGCCTGAATGGGTTATTCTGCATATTAAATGAAATGAGCATACACAATTCCATGTAGAGTTTCTAGCTCAGATTACTGAGTATTTAATAAATTATATCTTGTTATTATTTTGTTACACTAATAATATAAGTTGTATGAATGTAGTCTAAAACACTAAAATCAAACAATTCCCTCCCTATAATAGTAATGTTACCTCTGAAGATAAATCCTCCCAGCTTGAATTGTTTTCTGTGTAGGCAGAAATTTCTCAGTGATATTCAGTCTTGGCAACAATAAAGAAGCAAAGTAGAGGGAAAAATAAAATTGGAAATTCTAAGGCTATTTTTTAAAAAATTAAGGTTTTAGTTCTTGAAACCCTGGAACTTAATGGAATTTTATTCCTCACTAAATTTAAATCCATCCTCGATAAGAATGAGTCTTTCTAGACTTATTTTGTAAGCATACTCCTACTCACAGTTCTTTTTGAAGAGTAGTAGGAAGTCCAAATGACATGTACAATACTTCCTTTTTGTGCCACTCATCTATCACTAAACAACATTACATTGCATATAATTCTTTTTTTATATCAAGAATTAGGTTTTATTCAGAGAGGTGTAGTGTAGTGGTGAAGAGCATGATCACTGGGATCATACTGCTTGAGATGGAATGCCAGTTTGGGGAGGTTACAAAACCCATTTGAGTCTTAGTGGCCTCATCTGTAAATTGAAGCTAATACTACCTATGCCATAGGGACTAAATGAGATGCTGTATGTACAGAACCTAGAACAATGCTTGACATATTAAGTACTCAATAAATGTTATCTATTTTTTTAATACATAGCTTCACACAGTTTTGTTTTAATCAAAATATTTTTATATTGCATGTGTTTGTGGGGTACAGTGTTGATGAGCTGATCTTTAATAAAACTTTTTCTTCAAAGAGTAATTTATGCAAGGTTTATATTTTAAAGTAAAGAAAATATATCCAAGGTATCATAAATGTTTAGTGCTAAGTGTGGCTCATTTATTTTTCTTTTGTTGGTTGGCTTATCGTGGTGTTTTGTTTTATTTTTTAAAATAGTTCAATATGGACCGAGTTAATGTTGAAGAATTCTATGAAGTTTATAAAGGAGTGGTATCTGAGTATAATGTAAGTATCAAAGTAAATGTAAAGCATTGCTACTGAAAACAATTTGTGTATCTCAAATCTTGGAGATCTCAGTGTAATTTATAATCACAAAGTATTCCTTAAAGTATTTCTTAAAATATTCTTTCTGCTAGTTGCCAGTTAATCATGCCCAGTGACTGAGGCATTCTCATCCCTGAGATCCAGTGGAAATATGGTATTGTTTCATTTATGAAACAAAAATATATGGGAGGAATGGAAAGAAAAAAAAAAGGAAAAATGGCATCAACAATACCAAAACAACAACAAAACACACCTTGCTGGGATGCTGACACAGTCTGACATTTTCTATAAAGATTATTATATTCTCAGAGTGGAAGACTGCCCAAAATGCTTTAGGAAGTTAAAATTAAGTAGTTCTTAACATTGTAGTATAACTCTACAGCAGTACTTAATATTCACTTTAATGACCCAAATGCAGGTGGAATCAACTGAAAGTGAGACTGAAGAAATAATGACTTATATGAGGTGGTTCAAAGGGAAATGAAGGGCTGGCCAGTTCACTCCGTTGGCTAGACTGCAGTCTTGTAACACCAAGGTCAAGGGTTTGGTTTCCCATACTGGCCAGTCACCAAAAACCAACCAACGAACAAAAAAACACAAAGGGAAATGATATGCATTCTTGAAAACAAATTACTATATTCAAACTAGCCAAATCTTGTTGTTATTATAGTACATAGCAGATATTTAATAAATGCTAGTTTCCTTTCCCTCCTCTTTATCACATTATCTTAGATACATTTGTGCTGGTACACTGCCCATCACCCAAGTCGTTTTCTAGAGAGTTCTGGCTTTTCTTTTTGCATAAAGTTCATTATTCATGACAATGAGACTAGATTATTCCCCTCTCCTCACTTGTCTATGCCCTTTCCTTCCAACGTATCTTAAAAAAGAAGCATTGCACTGGTTCAAGAACTGGTCTGAGTTTTTGTCTTATTTAGCCCTCCACAATAAAAGCCAATTATAAAATATTTATTTTGGGTCTGGCATAGTGATGGTGTTCCACCCTTCTTTATAAAGACCAGAGTGGGGGCCGGCCCGGTGGCGCACTGGATAGTGCGCCGCTTGGGAAGCGCGGCGGCGCTCCCGCCCAAGGGTTCGGATCCCACATACAGACTGGTTCCCGCTCACTGGCTGAGCGAGGCGCAGGAGCAACGCCGAGGGTTGCAATCCCGTTGCCGGTCCCCGGTCCGGTACGGGGGC